CCTCCAAAGCCTGGGCTCTTTCCAACTATGCCAAGCTGTGTGTTCCCAATTTCCCCTTGAGAGGATTGTGTAGACCAGTGGTTTTCATCCTTGACGGGATGTCAGAAGCACATGTGGAACTCTTACAAACTACAGTTGTTCAGATCTACCTAATAGGACCCTTTGGGGAATGGAGCCCAAGCATCTGTATTTCTAAAAACCTCCAGGATTAATCACCTCTGATGTGCAGCCAGAACTGAAAGTCATTGATCCAGCTGAAATGATCACACAACAATTTAACATTAATAACGTTTTCTTTATAGGAGCCCAGACTGGTTCATTCATTCGATAAACACTTTTGAGCTCCTACTACCAGATGAGCTAATGTTCTTGGTAAAGCATCCATCTTGGTCCCTGGCATGTAGAAGGTGCTCAATACTTCGGCTATATTCATCACCTCTTAACGAGAGGCTCCACTGTTCCAGACACTGGGCAAAGTGATGGCAATGCGGAGGTGGAGAAGTGCCAACAGACTCCAAGCAGGGATAGGCAAGTAAACCATTAGCAGCAATTTGGAATCAGCCAGCATGAGTGCATACACACAGGGAAGCAGCCCATAGAGGTGAGCAGGGGAGATTTTACAGAGGGGAGTGATATCTGAGCTGCTTTTGAGATACACATTGGTGTAAGATAAGCATTCACTCTTTTCTTGCTAATAGGTCTTGGGATAAGGGCTTAAATGCACACTTGCTATCCTTACCCTCATGCTAAGAGGTCTGATATCAGGAGTGTAGCCACTGGGCCAGACTCAGTTTGTGGCCGAAGAGACAAACTGGGGTGCAGAGGATGTCAATGCCTCGCTAGGAGCCTGGCTCCTAGCTAGGCATCCTGGCTCAAGGAAAAAAGCCCAAGCTACACTTTTAATTCCCCAAATCCTCTGGCAAATGTCAGGCAGGAACCCCTGCTCATGCACACACCCCATGGAAGGCCCAGTGGCAGACACAGCAATCATATCCCAGTTCTGTCCCTGCCCATTCTGCCGTTCATTTCTCCAGGGCCAAAGATGTCTTCCTCCAATGCTCTTGAAGGCAATCAGGAGAGTTAAGAAGATAACATGTAATCTTTCTGGCACAGAGAAGGTGCCCTAAGATGTGAATTGTCCTCCCCACACCCCTTACTGCCCATCACAAGGTCCTTGGGAGGGAATAGGGCCTTGGCCGCCATTCGCCAAGCATGTCCCATGGGCAGGTGCCGCTTATGGCACTTTCCACACCTTCCCTCATTGAACCTCAGAGCAACCCCGTGAGGCTGGCATAAAGGAAGAGGGGAAAGATACAGGAGAGAAAAATCTCTACATGGAGTTGGAAGAAGCATCAGAGGAGTGAAGGCAGAGAAGGGTGCAGAGCCAAAGGGGGTGTCCCCTGCCACAAATCCTCCACGGAGAGCAGGCGTGTGCTTCCCGGCCACACAGACAGTAGCTGGCCCGCCAGCTGCTACTCTGTCGCTGCTGCCTGGCCACCCTGGCCTCTGTCAGCTCCTGTCTGCGATGGAAGCAGGGACGGGGTGGGGAGGGCAGGCAAGGCAGGAAGCACAAACATTCCAAGCTCCCAGCCCAGTGACGGATGATTCATCCCTCACTCTTCATGTCATCTCCCATTTGTGCGGTTCTCATCTTTATTTCATGAATATTTTATTCTTAGAGCAATGGCTCCACTTCCCCCATAAATCTAGAGGGTGGCTCTTTACTGCAACCACAGAGTCTGCTGCACTCACCTGCACTGAGTAAGTACATAATAGTCTGATTCCTTAGAAAAAATACGAGCTCAAATCCACATGAATATTAAGGGGTTGAACGCACATTACTACTCTTCCTCAAGTAGGTGTCTAAAGTCTGAAGACATCTCAGCACAAGCCATTAAACACAACTAGAACTACACCCAAAGACAGGTTTCTGGCTCTTAAGAAATACAGCCAGTGCCCCAAAATGAAGCATTCTAAGGTAAAGCAGACACTCTCACCTAATTGAGAATGCTGCTCCATAAAACACAGCCAACCAGTAACACAAAGTGGTTCTGGATTAAATACCGTTAATATTTGTGGAAGGTTTGAAAGATATGCTTCTAATATCCTGTTGTTTCAACCCCCTCCTGGTTCTTATTCCCTCCATGATGAGGGCTCAACCACTTGGCCTGACATCCAAGTCCCTTAGAGCAAGTCCCTGCTCCCTGATCCAGCGTCCTCCACTCACATCCCCTTGCTGATGGCGACACTCCAGCCCCCACAGCTCCAGGAGGTGTGATGACTGTTTACCTCCGTGTTGTTCACCCTACCAGAAAGGCAACTTTCAATCTCACCTCCAGCTCTAGGATCTGTACCAACCCTTCAACACTTCACTAACTGGGAGGAGCTCTTCACTAACTGATACCCCTGCCCCCTCATGACCCCAGGCTGGGCTGGGTGCCCCTCAGTACATCCATGGTACCCTCTGCTCACTTGAGAATAGCCTTGATCAATGGAGGCTGCTTTGGTCAACCTCTCTGCCACATCTGCTCCTGCGGAGGTAAGCCCCCTGGGGACATGGACTGTTCCCCCACAGGCATATATTTATGAAAGGAAGAAGAGAGATGGAGAAATTTCATTTGAAAATCAGAAACTCATAAAAACAGAAAAAAGATGGGGAATATTTCCCTCTTCTATCATGCAACCCTTAGCAACACCAGAAGGGGCTGGAGGAAAGGCAGCTACCATGCTTTTGCAACCTGTCTTTTCACTGGTCCTCATTCCTATCTGGAAGCAAGTTGGGGGCAGGTGCAGGAACTTCCACATTTTCTAGGCAGGACCAATGTATTTCATTCTCTCTTATGCCTCAGATCCTGGGCTTATGCAGAAGCCAGAGGAGAAGACAGAATGCTTTGCTGACAAGAAGAGAGCTGTTCCTCACAGCTGGGTCATTTCTTGGTCTCCTGGTCTTTTCTCTGTATTTCTCTCTTTCACGTCTGCCTTCTATATCTCTCCAAAAATCAATCCCCTCACCTCTCCTTCTCTCTCTCTCCCCCTCCCTTCTCTCTCTCTCTCTCTCTCTCTCTCTCTCTCTCTCACACACACACACACACACACACACACACACACACACACACATAGTAATCATTCAATCATTCACTTTGGCTGCCCAGGCTAGGCTTATCACTAAACACTAAACTAGGGGATGTGAAGGGACATGATGACCAGAAGCAGATGAGAATGTCCTGTCCAAAGGAAGAATGGCCTCTCTCTGCACCTAGTTCATACGGGACATTCTGGAGGGCAGAGCCTGTTTCTCCTGGGCACCCACTCTGCCCATGCCATCCCAGGTCAGCACTTCCATGACAGGGAGATGCTCACCCACCCAGAGAGCCTCTCCTGCTCCCCTGACCCAAGGGCATGTGCACTGAGAAGTGAGGCTGTGGCTGATTGGGTCTGGAAAAAAAACAAACCCAAACCAAACAATATGGAGAGTGAATGCAATGGGATCTTGTCTTCCCTTGTCCCACTGGGGATGGCTCCAGGACCACCCTACCCTGGGTACATGCTGAGCCTTCTGTACATATAGACTTGAGGCTGGTAAGGGGACATATATGCAGACTTTCCTAAAAACTACTCATCGGAATAATTCACAGTCCCTCCCAATAACTTCTTCACAAAAAAATTTCCAGGAGCAAAAGAAGTTCAAGCAGAACCATTAACTGTTCCTTTCAGTGGCTTTCCCTTAAGTCTCCTCCTTCCTTCTCACCCGTGGCCCAGGGGTGACCAGAGAAGCACTGAGGCCATGGGAGACCCAGGCCTTTTCCACTTTGCACTTCCTTGCAGGGAAGCACACAGAAGGCAGATGAGGAAGATGGATGTCCCTAGAACATTTCCAACATGCTGAATCAAATGGCAAGATCCTTCCAGCAAAAACTAAGTGTGATGACAGAGAGCTTGCTGCCTGGTATGAATGGAAAGTCTGTCCTCACCCCGACCTTGCCAGGTGCTCCATTACAGACTGATATGGGGTATGGCCAACCAGTCTCTCCACGCTGCAGAGATGGTGGCCATGGCGACACTGCCTTTCTGGATTTGGCGCTGGTTACTTTGCTGCATCTTGTTTGAAATTTACACCTGTTTGTAGCAACATAATCTGTTGATTAGAATTCAGAAGAAGCTGAGGTATAGGCAGCACAGAGGGGCAGCCCTGCAATCCAGTGGCTCGGCTTATGTCTCCCTGCCTGTGTGTAGGTTTCCGCTGGCACAGATCATCCCCAAATGGCACTCCTTGCCACCCTCCCTTAGGGGAACTGGCTCCAGGGTCCCTTGGTGGAGGCTTCATATAAAAAAAATGGACTCAAAGAAGAACAAAACCCCAACGGAAGGAAGTGTTGTGGAAAGAATCAGCTTGTGGTTGGCACACATAAGGAGGGATTTTGTGCCAGAACTTGAAGTCTGGACAGAGCCACAAAGTTCCCTGTGCTGGGTGTTCCTGGAGGAACATGGGCAAGGCCGGGCCCTATACGGAGGGGGAAGGGAAGGGGAGAAGGGGCGATGGGAGGGGAAGCGGGGGCCAGGCCCTACTTGCATGCTGGAAGAGCAGAGCCCTGTGGCCCTTGATGTGAAGGCAAAGAGAACCAAGAAGGAATGAGATCTCCTCTCTTACCCTACAGTTGGTCTCTCCAGGTCAGGGTGGAGGCACATGGGCGGGGCAGGGTGGGGAAGGGCTCTCTGGCGCTGCTCATGCTGTACCCGCTCTATAGATAAATACAGGACTTTAGTGGCCATGGCTGGTGCCTTGGCACTTTGTTCAAGCATAAAAACATCCCCTACATTTGTTCTCTTGCTTTAAAATCAAAGTAAAACAATGACACCATCCCCCCCAAATAAAACACTGCCGCCTCTAGACAAGTGACTTCGGTAAATACTAACTGGAAGAAAACCGCCCGCCGAGTGGCCCAGTATGACTCTCCTGCCTCTAGGATGCAGAAAGGAGAAGCAGGACTCAGGGCACGGACCTCTTTGGGGGTCTCCTTGTGGCACCGGTTGCTGTTCCACCACAACTCCAGGGCGGCCACCAGGCAGGCCAGGAGGAGGCCGATGGCCAGGATGCAGAAGACCCCAGCGAAGCTGTGCAGCTTGAGGGATTTGCCGTCGGCCTGGGCACTGGCGTGGCTGGTGAGATCACAGCGGCCCATGTGAGGCCACCACTTTTGCTTGAGCACGTCCAGGTCCCCAGTGTCCTGCAACTCCAGGATCCTGCAAGATACAATCCACATGAGCCACAGCCACCGGCCTCATCAGTGTGGTCATGGGGGCTTTGGCCCTTTCCCCACCATGCTGGCCCTTCCACAGACCACGCTGAACCGTGGTGGCTCTTATTCTGTCCCAATTTTTCCCTCCCCAATCCATTCTCCCACTGTGAGACAGAGTGCTCTTCCCAAAATACACATCAGGTTTGTCTTTCTCCTTAAAAGTCTCGATGCCCCCTCCTACCACTGCCCATGGATAAAGTTCAATAGCAAGCTCATAAGGACCCTTCACATGGGACTGGGGGCAAGCTCTGGGGATAAAGTAGGAAAATATAGAACTGGACGAGGCAATATTTGGACTGTGGACTTACAAAAATGCTTTCTTTAAACCTTCAATCCATTGTAAGTTTCTCCCACCAGGATTCCCCAAATCACTCATTCATTCATTCGATTTGAGGAGTATCTGCCTTGCGCTATGTGTGATGTTCAACACTGCTGAGGGTGCAGTCCAGAGACACATACATGGACCTTGAAACAATTAGAGCAATCAGTGTGGACACCGAAGCTGTGATCAATACCATGACATGAAAGCACAGGTGCTAAGAAATGGTGCACTGGGTGGGTGTCCAGACCAGGGGGGTTACAGGGAGGACCTCATCAAGGAAGTGACAGGTAAGCTGCCACCTGAAGGAAGGTTAGTCATCAAATAGCTCACACTTGTCTGGCATATTCTGTGTGCGAGGATATATGCTAAGTGCTTGACAGATAGTGTTTAATTGTCATGTCAACCCTTTGAGATGGTTCCTTCCATTCTCCTATTTTAAACAGAAGGAAATGGAGGCACAGAGAGGTGAAATATCTTGCCAAATTCACTTTGTGGTTGGCAGGGATGGCATTCAACAAGAAGGAAAAACTACAGCCATGCTTGAAATTCTTGTCTGGGCTAAGTGCTCAGCATGTCTGAGATGCTAAAATATGGCCACTGAGGCTGGAGAGTAATGGGTGAGGAGGAAGATGGTGGGAGAAGAAGCTAAAGCAGGAAGAGCTGAGAATGTCGGTTCTGAGAGGGTATGAGAGGGAGTCTGGATTCCATCCTGATCACCAAGGTGGGGCAAACCCCTGGGCTCCTGTAGTCCCCATGCAGGTGTTTGGATGGTGGTTTTCCTTCTTGTGGCATTTTATGGACTCCCTCTGTAATCCAGTGGTCTGAACAGTGAGCTAGTAGTATCTGGTAGTCCCCAGCCTCCTCATACCCAAGCTTTTCCATCTGGGGAGGGAGACTCTTTCAGCCTGGTGCGTGGTGATATATCCAGGTGATAACACCTGCCGTGACCTCTCTGAGCCCACATTCTCAGCTCTCTGGGTGTACACAGTTCAGGAGAAGTGGTTCTGTACAGCCAGGAGAAGCTCACTTCCAACTGTTCAGTTGAGCAGTCTCTGCCCTGGACCTGCATTGCAGGCCACCTGTGACCATAAGCTGAGGCTGAGGTCTATGGGCTGTGCATGCATGCATGGGCTGTGGCTGTTGGAGAGGGAAGGTGACAGCCCAGAGGGGGTCCTCTGACCTTTCACCATCATGGACCCAGCATAGCATGGCCTTTCATAGGCTGTGAATAGCTTGGCTCAGTACAAGAAGCAGGGGATGGAGGCACCAGATCTCAGCTGGGTATCACGGAACAAGTGACTTGCTCCTGCTTAACCTTGGCTGGCTCATCTTTGCAAGATAGATCCACGACCCCACTAGGTGAGTAGATCCTTCAGGATGGGCTGTGTGTTACTCTCCATGGTTTCTCCTGAGCAAGCAGAGTGGCGGCACAACTTGGGCCATCAATGGATGTTGGCTGCATCAATATGTGTATGAATATATTAATTGAATCATGAAAACTAATCTAAACTAAAATGGCCATGGTGAGATAATGAGATAATGTCTGTTAAGAGCCAAGGACACAAGTCAGCACAAAAGACTTAATATGCCGCTGTGCCTGTAGGGACTTGGTCATTGAGATAAATGCATGATTGACATGTGCACCTGTGCGCCTTGGGCTTGTGCTCAGTATGCCATTGAGCATCACAGATATCTCACATGGCACATCCCATGATCACCTGGGCAGCTTCAGTGTCCCATACCTCTGTATGGCACTGGACATGTTACAGAAGCTGGCCACTGGTTCATGCTGAAAGGCCACTATTTAAGTCTATGCTGGCAGGTCTGAATAAGCTGGGCCTCCTGGCAGTTATGGGAACCCCAGGGCTGGATATGCAGGATCTCAGGGCTTTGAGAAGACTCGTGGGTAGACTAATGGCTCGCTGAGGAGAGACAGCAGAGCTTTGTATTTAGCATAGATTCTGCTCTGATGGACATCATGCAAACACAGACCGTGCCATCACACTAGCCATGGTATGCAACCTCTCAATTTCAGTGCCCTTATTACTAAAATCTGTGATCATAACAACTCCTACCACAGCATGACTGTGACAAAATGGAAAAGGGACACATGGGCACCACTCAGCTCAAGATATGGCAAGTAATAAGAGCTCCATAAAAGCTGGTAAAATTTGCACAGTCTGATGGCCATGCTGACCAGCAGCCCTATCCAGTCCAGTACTGACATGCACTGCCTTTTATTGAGAACATAGTAGGGACTGATCATTTACCATTGTTGTAATCCTCCTAGCAGCCTGCAAAGTAGTTCTTAGTGAATCAGTTTTACATCTTGAAGACCTGAGGCTTGGCATCTAGATGACTTGTTCATGGTTGCAATTAGAAAGTGGCAAGATTACTCTTCAGAGCTGGGGCGTGCTGACCCGGGAGGCCATGCTCTTTCCAGATAATCAGGCTGCTAAGTGCAGTCAGCGGGCTCTCTGAGAGTTAGGATCTGGTCTACCGGACCACGAAACTCTGGCCAGAGCATAGCTGTAGGGTCTGATTTTTACTCCTCCGCTCACTGACTGCAACATCAGGCAGGCTGCTTAGTTCTACCGATGCTTCTCTTCTTCCTGCTCCTTTTAATTGTATGCATTTTTATGCCCAATATTATTCCAGGAAGAATGTAAGGCAATTTATAGGGAAACATAGAATAAAGTAAAAACAAACAAATCAAAAGGAAAATTTAAACACGTAAGCAACAGAGGAAAGATAAAACAAGTCACGGGCACAAAATGAGTCCTAGAACAAAGCTAAACTAATGCACACCATAATAATCTATACTCCTGCTTATGAGTAAGCCGGAGCGATAATAGCCACTTCCTGAAGCCAGTTGTTCTATTTTCCAGACAGATATAATTGCAGGTGCTTTCCTCTGGTCAATAGTTGGGGAGCCTGCTACACAGTAGGTGCTCTATAAATGGCTATTAGGTTGTTAAACATTTATTGAATGCCTGCCCTGCATGCCATGGTCCACAAACAGGCTACAGCACTCAACCCTGCCATACACACTTAGAAGGCACGGCCTATAGAACCTGTCCTCTGCCAAAGCAAGGGCGTGTACCCATATTCAAGGAAACAGCTTAGTTTCCAGGATGAAGGGAAAGAAAGTTACAGCAGTTCCAGATAAGACCGGGATCTGTGATTTCTATGAGGCCTTTTTTTCCTGTAAATGGCATAGTGCATTGCTTCCTGGATCTGCCCCCTTCCTCCTCTCAGGCATGCCCCAACTAGAGGCAGCTCACGGTTCTGTAGGCATCATACAACGGAGAGCCTCTCAAAGAACCACTGGCAGTAGTACATTGACGACCTGAGGTCAGAGTGTTCCTTCTAAGTAGATACCCATCTGCCCAGGTAGGGGAGGGGGGATGCTTTCAGCCCAAGAGAGGCTGCAACACAGAGACTTAATATGCACTCTCCTCCCAACTCTGCCAGGAGCTGGATGAGTGACCCTCTCTGAACTTCAGGATGTTAAATGAATGATCTCTAACAACTCTTGCCCCTCCAAATGGATTATCCTCAGTGCTGGGATGCCTGTGTTTACCAGTCAACTGGTGTTGCCCCTAAGCCTGGGTACCATGCCAGCTTTTTCATTTGGACACATCTGCTATTTTGGATTTTGGTGGACCAAGATAGCCTGTCCTTTGGGATTCCTCTCTAAGCTCCTTAGTCCTGCCCTCTTCACTCACCAGGATGTCACCTCACAGACATGTGTGGGCGATGGGCCCAAGGCACAGATGTCCTTAGGAACAGGAGCCCCAGTGAGCAGGCCACTGAGCTCACCAATGCTCCTCACTTTCACCTTGTCTGGTAAGGCCAAGACCCCTAGTCAAAGACTAAGATAAGTTTTCTGGCAGTAAAAGCAGGGTGTTGATGACAGACTTTTTTTCTCAAGGAAGCTGGCCAGGTGTCCAGATTGAGCACTTGGAAACTTGATCATGCCCAAGGGTCTAGAGTAGACCAGGCTCAAGAAGGGATGGACTCCCACCAGCAAATTACATGGGAAGCTTAATAGGCCAACACAAACTAGACACAAGGTTTCACTTCTGGTGGAGGGTATCCATGTGCCTTTGCTTAGGCTAGAATACCCAGGCCTATAAAGCCCTCCTCTCCTCTTACCCCCACCCTCCCCCTACCATTTGCTAGTATTAATTACCAGGAGGCTGATCTGGGGAGGATGGGGAGGAGGCAGGTCCCTTGCCTGCCCCAGCAGATAGCGTCTGCCCCCTCAGCCCATGTGCACATGAATATGCAGTCAATCTGCTTCTCTGACCACACTTTTTTTCAAGACCACATTGACTCTTCCCACACTGACTTTTCCCACTGAAAGCCAATTTTAGAACTTCCTAAAACTTATAATAATAAGTAAGTATTGGGCCCTTCTTAGATCCAATTAATTATTCACTTAATTTTAAATTACTGGGCCTATCTGGCTACCTCCTACTCACCCTTCAGGCCTTAGGTGCCCTCCCTGGCCTCCCGGTTCTGATCAGCTGTTTTCCTCTGCCCTCCTCCACTTCTAGAATAGCCTCTCCATTGCACTTACTTCCCTGTGCTGGCGTTGCCTGCCTGCATCACAGTTCCCACCGAGACTATGCACCTTCATGAGACGGGACCATATACTTCCTCTTCTTCGTCCCCGGCTGGCATGGGACTAGTTGGGGTGGATGGAGGAGCATGTGCTGGTGTACAATCAGGGCTGAGTTCACGTGAGGAAGAACCAAGCTCGTGTTGGCTCTTGCCTCCTAAGAGAAGTTTATCCTCTAAGCCCCCCTTGGCTGACAGTGCCTACCTCTGGGAGAAGAGGTCCCTGTAGGGGCTGCCGTGCTGCAGGGCGATCCCGTAGCCCTTGCTGCTGACGCTGTTGCCAATGACAGTCACAGAGCAGTCATCATCTGTTAGGGCTGCGTACTCCACCACTGCCACATCCCACAAGAAGGCGTAGTTCCCCTTCTTTGCCTGAAAGACCAAAATCACCATGGAGTCAGGTAGGCCTGTATCAGTTTTGAGCACCGAGTAGCTCAGTGATGAAATCTGCAGGACCCTCCAATGCGATCCCCTGCCCACAAGCCAGCACAGCAAGCCACTGGCTTGCCACTCGCTGTGTTTAGACACAAAAGGCCGTGATGCTGTCTCCAGTATGCTCCAGGAAAGCACACGTCGCACAGAGAAGTAGAAAAGGTGAGTGGTAGGTGAGCTCTAAGGCTAGCCACCTGCTCACAATGGCAGGGACCTATTTCTCAGATTAGCAGGCTCACCTTCAAAAGTGCAGGAAGTCTGACCCAGGGAATTGAGATTTTCTGTTCAGAGATTTAGGGGGAGTGTAATAGTACCCAGTTAGTATTTCTACTTAGAACCTGGCTGAGCCCTGCTTAGGGTGAATGCAGAAGATGGCCCTAGATTTAGTGCCCTGAGTGGCTATGACTTAATATCTAAGTCATAAAAAAATATCTATATATAAGTCATGAACTTGAACTTGCTACGCATAGAGAAGAACCCATAAAGTCAGGGTCCTGATTATTATGGTGCCAGGTTGCATTTCTGCCATGTGCCTTCTACTGCCCACACAAGAGTGTCCCCACACATACAAACATGCGCAAACACATACATACATGCGCAGACACACAGGCACACAAGCAAGAGTGCACACACACACGCACAGCCACACACACACAGGAGGTTTCTATATCAATGCAGTGGTTGCAGATTATTTCATAAGGAATTTGCCCGTGGCCACGCTGAAGTCCCACCCCATCACACCCATCCACAGCAGACCTTCAGTTATATCCTGAGCCTTAACTCTGACTTTGCCTGGAACTTGGACGCTCAGGGGAAATGTGAGCTGCTCTGCTTTTTGGAAGGAGATGCAAACTAGACATTGTCACTTGGCCAGCTTAAAATAGAGCATAATGTTCTTAATGTAGCCAAGGGCCTGGTTTTTATTCTAGAGTGAGCGCACAGTTGTCTCTTTGCCACTTCTTTCCTCTTACCACAACTCACACTGGGTGCTGTAAGACCTCAGTCTGGGCCTGGTGGCAGGCCTGAAAGATCACAGACAAGAGATCAAGCTGGCACGCTACAAGTTTTGTGGCATCATCATGGGCATTGGGCTGATCTCTTGCTTCAGGTGAGTCTTCATGTCCACTGAGACTTTCCAAAGAGTGCTATTGTTACTTAGGTGAAGGTAGTCAAGATTTTACTTCTTTTAGGACCCAAAGTGCCCGTGGGCCAAAATGGCTCATTTTTTTCTTCAGAAGTTTTCCATCAAAAGGATTTGTGAGCAGAGCATGGCGCCCCCCGGCACGAAGAGGCTGCTCCTGGCCATTCAACAATTTTTCCCAAAGACCTTGTAAGAAATGACACATGCACCTGTGCCACCCATGGACTTGTACCTCCGGGAGCAATCCAAATATTACATCAAAGCTGCATTCCATGGCCAAGCCAATTTCAGAAGTCCCTAAAGGACTTTGACCCAGGTTGCAAAATTACACTCATTTCTCTCCTTCCACATGGGAAGATAACAGTCTTTGAAATTTTTTCCTGCTGGCAAACAAGTTTTCTCTTGAAAAGACATAAATTTTCAACCTCTTAGTATCCAAGTTTCTCAGCAAAATGTTGACTTATGACCTAATATTTGGCTTTGGTCTCACTTTGGAGCATTTCACATCCACGCTCGCAATTCAACATGACAATCAGACATTGTTATTTGGACGATTTCAAAAGGGCATGTCATGTTGAAGGAAGAATTAAGATCAGGTTCGTTTCCACCTTTCAAGTGATGTTCCAAGAAGGAAAAGGAAATAGACTGGCTCAGATTGAGTGGAAACCGACTGACAAAAACCTGGTGCAGCCATTCTATGGGGGTACTTAGCTTCCTTCAAGCCACAAATGTTTGTGGCTCCGGTTTGGGCTCAGTGACAGGTGAGTGCAGCTGCAAGAAGGAAGCATTTATTGTCTTGCTGGCCTAAGCTGAGAAGCCAGGAAACACATGGATAGGATGCTGACAATGTCTCAGCTGCAAATCCCTTAACCAGGAAGGCTGTCGAGAAAAGAGGGGAGAGTAGTTCTTTCTTGAAGTGGCGAGTCTTCCCATTTTTAAACAGACACTAAAGTTACTATTATGTTTATGTCTGCTTCAAGGAGCATGTGGCCAGTCCCTAATATACTTGACAATGCCTGAACGGGGGGCCTGGAGAGACTAATGTGCCCTATCTTGTTTGTGGACCACATCAGAGGCTCCAGATGCATTGGGCTCTAGCCTTACGAAAATACTCTCCATCCCCAACATCTCTGCCCCAATTCCTCAGCATCCCAGAGCTTCCTACGTTCTCCTCTTAGCCCCATGCTGAGTAAAATGTAGCATCAGATCCCTCCCTGTGCCTCCCAAGTCTGTTAGGCTCCAGGGAAATTTTCTGGACCTTGTAGATATCTCCCCATCTTCCTGGTGTCACAGACCCTGTGTAACACAGAAGTCTTCTTAGGCCTGGCCATGCTCTCAGGAATATTCAGATGCCAACTATAAGAAGCCCAAACACACTACCCATCATGGTTATGTCCCCTTTATATAGACGTTCCTGTCTCCATGAAGAATGAGATCCACACACACCTGCCCCAAATTTGAAGACATGTTTCTCCTTAATAGGGCCCAAACCAGCTTTCCATGGTTTGTGGAAAACCACAATTTGTGGAAAACCACAATCTGTGCTGCTTATCCACAAATCTTGGTGTGTGTGTGTGTGTGTGTGTACACAGAAATATACGTATATGCATAAGCATATATATACACAAAATTAAAGTAGTATAAAACAATAGGATAGATACAGTATTATTATTGTTCTGTACACATGTGAAATGTAATATGCCAAAAGATGGATAGGATTATTACATAACGGAGTGGTATTAGTGATTCTTAGGACAAGCTGGTTAAAGGTTTTTCTTTAATCTTGTTACACAATCTATGTTATCACACACTGTACAGGCACCAAGTCTGATCTCCGTTCCCCTGTGTGCCCTTGCCCATCAATACAACACAGAGGCCTGGCAGAGCTCTCCAATTTCCCGGCTATTACCCAAATACAGCCCTTATTTCCCTGGGCTGCATCTAAACATTTTGCTTTGTTTCATTCTCCCCTTTCCCTAAAAGGGAAAGAAAAGGCAATTGGTTTAAACATAAAAAATGAAAAGATGTGAAGATTCAGGGATAGAAGGAAAAGAACAGCTTTGATATTAGACAAAGTCAAAGGCATCTGAGCATCCATCCCCAGGAAGTCAGGATAGCAGCAGGTAGCAGGCCACCCCTGACATATCTCCCTGTAAGTACCTTAGCAAACAGGATCCAAGCCCTTCCCTGAAGTCCACTCTGTGCCCAGTCCACATGTACGCTGGAGTACAATGAATGGAAAGGGATGGAGATAGGAGGGTGCCTGGCCCCAGCATTTAGAGTATCCTCCCTAACATTTGGGGGAATGTGATCAGCCTCTATGGCTGGAGGAAGGTTGGGCACAATAAACAAAGCCACGAGTGAGGTGGGATATTGGAGGACTCCCTCTCCATTGCTCCACACCAATAATAAAATGAGATTGCATTGCCTTTCATTGCACAGCTGATTCTGCCCTTCGCAGAACTCACTTGGAGCACAAACTTTCCGAGACAACAGCCTTCAAGGCAAGAACTTCATTATGCTCTTCTATTCCATTCTAACTGCTTTTGGAAAGGGGCAAGCAACCACATTGTTCCCCCAAACAAGAATGCTGGGACTGCAAACAGTGAACACAAATGTTATTGGAAAGAAAGTGCTGAAGGAAATCAGGTGTCTACAGTGCCAGCTACAGGGAAGGTGCAGAGCACCTGCTGGGTGCCGGGACTTTCAGAGCCCTGATTCCTTTGCCATCCCTGGTATAATTCTAAAGGGCAGAACATCTATCCCCTTTGACAGATGAAGGAGAAACAAAGTGAGTTGTCCCAAACAGACCCAGATCATGAAAGGCAGAGCCAGGTTAAGGTAAGCTAGCACTCTGGCTCCAAAGAAGGCTGTGCTGTCCCCTCTGCCCTGCTTGGACCTGTGAAGGGAGGGCTGGGGAAGTTGGTCCTGGTGTCCTTGCCCTCTGAGCACTTCCCAGGGCAGTGCTGCTGGTGACAGAACACACTGAGATGGCAATGACTGTCTTTCTCCAGCTTTGGAAACATGGTGGCTTGTGGAACTGCTGAACCCCTGTGAAATGGAGGTCATGGGCCACACTGCCTCTGATGGGGTTGTCAGGATATCAGGGACTCCTTGGACACTTGATGCATCCTCATGTGCATTCGCCATCTGGAGACACCTAGTGCCTCTCCCAGAGTCCACTTTCACCCAAAGCAGAGCTTGGCCCTCTCAGGTGTCCCAAGTGTTAGCTCCCATGGTCATGTTCATGAACTGGCAATGCATTGCCATGCACAGCCTGAACCCTGGCTACAGTGACACCTGCACCAAATTACAAGATGCACAGTGAAAACCCAGACCATCTGTGGAGAAAAGGACAATTTTACAGTCTGCCGGTAGGAATGTGGGCTGGCACGATATTTCTGGAATGGCAATTTGGTGGGGAGACTCAAACGCTCTTAAAATGTGCATATACAGCAATTCCACCCTTAGGGATCTATCCTAAGGAATTATTCAGTTTCTGAAAAGATGTTTGTACAAAGATTTTCAGAGTAACACTGTTTAAACTAGAAACAATTGGAGATAATCTAAATGTTCAAAACTTAAGAATCAACTGGGTAAATGACAGTATTAAATGATGGAATATTATATTACCATTGCCATGGAGTCTTAAAGAGGGCAATGATCACTAAGGGAAACAATTGTCTGTGGCAAACAAGGGCTAGCCTGGATCTGGCTCCAACGGTATGGATTTGAATCCCAGCTCCACTGCTTTCTGACTGTGTGAGTGCAGGCAAGTTGCTTAACATCTCTGGGCCTC